TTCCCTCCTCCTCTTTCATTCCTTCTTCCTGCTTCCCCATCCTCGCAGTGAAGCCTCTCAAACTTGGCAAGAGCTGCTGGGCTCCAGCCAGCTGCTGCTTCAGACCCAGGCCGTGCTCTCAAGGCATCATCCTAGAGCAGGGTGGGGCTGTGCTGCAAAGTGCAAACCCGAGCCAAAGTGTGTGAGGCCCCAGAGAGCACATCAAACAGGTGCTGCTGCATGCAGGGAGCCTCTCCATATTCACCAGCCCTAGAGGTTAGTGGAGACAGGGAGCTACCTCTGATCAAGCCAGATCAGGTCCTGACACAACTGTGTTAACACCGTGCTGTGCCAAAGTTAGCACATCCTATCTTTCTAAAACACACTGGACCAGGCAGTGGCTTTTCCACTAAAACTGAGCTAGTGCTACTTTTGCTTTATTTATGAACCTCAGCCAATTGTTGTACAGTTCAGTTCCTCGGTACTCTACCCCATTTAACATGGTAACTTTTCACACAGCTCTAAGGGAATAAACCCAGCTACAGAGAACAGAGGAAGCCATTCTGTTTCCCTGGATCTTCATCTGGCAGTGTCAACTGTCAAGGCTCCAGAGCCACAAGCCCTCTGATCATTTTCCTCGTGTGAAAAAGAAATGGTTCAAATTTGATGGGGGCAAATGGCAGATCTGCATTAAGTTCAGTCAAGCAACACACATCTATTTTTTAGCAATTCAGTTACATGTTATCAGTTACCCTCTTCTTCAAAACAACCAGAATTAGCCACAGCAGAAAGCCTGGTGCAGCGAGGTGTCCCCACAGAAATTATAACAGCTAAGCCTGATGGAAATCTCTAAGAGCAGCTGGTTCCTGCCATGTCTCCTGCCAGTTGGCATGCTAAAGAATCGGCCAAGCTTCTAAGATTTCGGCAAAGCAAGCAAACAGAGTACTTTTGTACTGTACTGTACCTTGTACAGTCTGTACAAGGGAATACATGAGATAAACTTCACCCTTTCAATGGTGCAGAATGAAAGAGTTAAAGGTTCCCCTGCACACATTCTACACAAACTTACATGCCCAAAGGTGCTGCATTTGGCTTCCTGTACCTTATGTTTTTCCTTTTTACTTATCCCTGGTGGTTCACTATTGCAGGCCTTTTGACTTGTGAGAACAAGACTCCCCATTCCCTCTGGGAGTTTCGCCACTGCCCTCTCGCTCCCTGTTACTCCCTTTCCTGTTTATCGTCTTCCAGCTGCCTCTCTCATTCAGGTTGGGAAAGGAGGAAAGAGGCAACATTTCTATCGTGATTTCTCCCTCCTCCACAATTCCTTTTCAAAATAATTTTTCTCTTGACAAGAGAAACTCCACCATAAGGTGAAGATATCCTGGTGTCTCGAGCCAGGCAGGTTTTCAGGAAGAAGCAGAAAGAAACCCACAGCCCCAGCTAACAGCACAGAGGATCCACAGCACCTTCAGGCACTGAAACGTCAGCTGGAACCCACCCAATCTCCCCCTCCCTGTCTGTAGTTTAAGCAAATCAAGCTTCAAATCCTACATTTCTCTAAGTCTCCTACACTTGCTTGCAAGATTCAAATCCTTGAGAGAGGCCAGAGGCTGCTTTTGTACAGTGACAGTCATCTCAGGAGCAGGTATTTGCAAACACGTTGTTGCACTAAAATGAAACCCTCTTTTCTATTGCTATCAGTCAGATATTGGGCATACTGTAAACCTGGTTTACATATTTGCTGAGTCATTTATTTAGCAGAGCTTTTCACCCTGCCAATTTTTTGCCCGTCTTACTGGTTGAAGGAACCATTTTGTGAATATAGCAATCCCCCCTATACCTGTCTGAAAAAAATATTTTAATACTTCAGACCTTATCTGCCTGTCTGTAGGGTAACAGGTTGCTTCTTCCCCTTCTAACAGGAAACTGTGACAGCAGATTGAATTGCATCCTTCTCCCTTCTGTCCAGCCACCTTTAACTTCCCAAGGGGACAGAACAGCCGACTGAGAGAGCATAGGAAATTGAACTCAGGAGAGATGAAAGTGGTTGAAGGTAAAAGGTAAAAAAAATAAAAATAATTTACTGCAGGATTTTTCTAAATATATCCATTTTTCTTGTGGATGTAATTGTGTGTGCTGCACATGTTTTCTTTGCTTTTGTAAGAATAAATAATTTGCAGGTGTGTGAAGTTCTACTACAACAAATATTTCAAACTGAAGCTACATTTTCTTTGTATGATTCATACACTACATTACAGCTTGCTTATAAATTAAAGGAGCAGAATATGATGTACTGCAAAGGAGTTGTATATTTCCCCTGCTAAGCTACAGTGACTGTAAATCATTTCCATCACACTTCATTCTTAATTTGAATTCATAAAAGGTTGTACATTTCTTTGTGGTTTTAAATTTATAAAAAAAAAAATAAAAAAGATTAAAGGCTGTGAACTTAAATGTTTATTAAAGGAAAAAATACGCTGATCTGAAACTTTAGGAATTAAATATATGTAAAATATAAGAAAGGAGAAGAAGTAAGAATTCTAGTTAAGCCCTGGGAATTAAATATGAAATTTGAGGTCTTCCACTACAGATGCATCAGCATTTGGCAAGGTGAGGGTGATAGGGGAAGACAAGGGTGAGCAAATGGAAGGTCTAGAACAACAGTGCCCCCACACACACACACAGAGGTCAGGAATTTTGTGAAGTCAGTTTAGCCAATTATTAGGTAATCATTGAAAAAGTGGAGCCTGTGTAATTAAAAAGAAAGTAAAATAAAACCAATTTCTCACAAGATGCTAAACCTCTTCCCTGTCCATCTGTAAATATAGGCCACCAGACTGGCTGACCAAGTTGGACTTTCAGACATTATCATAACCTCATGAGGCCAGGTCCCAGGTGAAGACTCAGATCTCATTTTTTGTAGCCTCAAGGTTATGCCTGCACAGTAAAAGCTCTGAGAGAGGCTTCAGTAATGAACTTTAGGAGAAGTATTAGTGTCACTGTACAGGTCCTGTTCCCATTGAATGGAGACTCAATATTCACATTCTGCTTATTACAGCTCTCATCATTTAAGGAGAGATCACCACCACTAATATGATAACCAGCAGGGCAAAGTAATTTTAATCACATTAACAGCAAAGACACTAACATGGCATTAGACTAAAATTTTGTAAGTATAATAAACTAGATTACACCTGCTTTTACTGCCTCTTTCAATAAGGTATTTTGTCTGTCAGCAGGAATTTCACAAGTCTACTATTAATGAAAACAATGGCCCTGATTCTACACATACAAATTCATAATTCCATAAAAATTAGCAGCACTTGTCTCACCTCTCCCCACTGATTGATTTCAGTGGGAACTTGTTGGGGAAAAAAAGCATATAACATTTTTTAGTGCATAAGAATGCAAGTGAGTAGTTCAAGATTCTTTTTGTCTCCCACACAGAACTGCTTTAATGTTAACAATAGTAGATTGACCCTGCACTTTGTGTCTGCAGTGAGTGCAGGGAAACCCCAGCCAGCAGGACCCAACAGGCTGCTTGAAGAATCATATTTATATCAGGCGCCCAAAGAATGTTGTTTTGCTTGGCATTTCCTGCTTGACTGGTTCTCTTCCTAACAACCAAACTTTGTTTGCCTTAATTTAAGATGTTTACTTTTGCTGTGATTGCAGTAAAAGCCCATGCCCTCATAAGCCACAATTTGCAGAAAACAATGCAGGGCAGGAAATCAACTCCTAACAATGTCCAACAAACTGAGCCTGTAATATTTCTGCTGGGGACAGTGGCAAACTAATGAGCAATCTCCTGATTACTCAGAAGGTATTTAAGTAAGCACATTACCCCAAATGATGCTAAATTGACACCTCTTACAGCCAAACTGCTTAGTCACAATTTAGCACAAGCAGGAGCTGCAAACATCTATAGACTGTTCAGTCAATAAGCCTTTGACAGTGATGTAAAATAAAAGCAGACTTTTTTTTTTTTTAAGATGAAGTTTGTTTTGTCTTACTTACAGATTCACCCTGCTGTAAACTCATATTTATTACAGTCTGCCTTCCTAGCAAATTAAAGCCTTCCTTTGAAATCAGTGGGCACTGCAAGAAAAAAATCAGTTTCTAAACTGAGGTCCAGACCCAATTATGAAGTTTCACAATAGAACTCATTTGCTGCAGTGTTTATGCATTTACTTATGAAGACTCAATGTAAAGAAACTTTATCTGCCCACCATAAAAAGAAATGTATTTAAAGTGAGCTTGAATTATTTAAGGAAGATGCATAACTGAGTATGTGCATTTTTAATACTAACTGCAAAATCAAATAATACACTTGAGTAAACACCAGTTATAGTTTGGATGTTAAATTGAAAATTAGGCATGAAGTGAATATATTGACTTTCTCCATAGTCTACACTTACAATATATGCTGAAAGATCGAGTGCAGCTAATTCAAGTTCCCTTATTTATTTCCATGAGCTCAGGACCAAATCTGCAGGTTTCACTATCAGTGAGAAAACACTGAGGTTTTTTACACACCAGCTTCTGACAGAGATGGGAGACACTCTGCCCAGGAAGCCCAGGTTTTAAAAGCACAGGGTGATAGAATGATGCCTTCCATGAGACCATACATCAGTTCAGGGGAATATAGTCCAGCCACAAAACAATCCAAAACAAGAGTTTTTAATCTTACTCAACAAACCAAAACATTCAAACATTTCTCACAACTGCCATGTCCAAGTTCTCTCTTCTCAGAGAGCATTCTGAGAAGCAAGATGGTTTTCCACTTAAGCCTCTCCTAAACACCTCAGAGATCAGGAATTCTCTAGAAATGTTGACTATTGATCAAAAATACAGTCTAACATGAGTTTGTAAATATCCCAAAAGCTACCAGGTTATTTACACCTTTACGTTTTTGATGATACAAACACAACAACACACATGAAACGGAAACCAGAGCTTTTTCTTAAGGGTCAGAAGGATTTTGCCTCAGTTTCCCTCCCTGTTTCCATTCCCACACATACCTTTAGGAATTGACCAGAAGCAGGCAAGCTGCTGTCTTCTGCCACTGGCACGTCCTTTGTGGGACCTCAGGGTACGGCAGTCTTCTCTGATGTGGAAGCACCTTTTGGTTCCATCACTGGTGCTTGGAATGGTCAATGGCAGCTTTAGAGCATTTTCCCATTTTCCACAGGAGTCTTTGTATGAGCCTGCTGAAAGCCTAAAGTTCACACTCATGTCCACCATTTCAGTGCCGTTTGAAAGTCTGACGAGAGGAAAACTGCATCAAATCAAGCCTCTTACAGCGTGTCTCTGGTAAGAAACAAAGAATAAACAGTCTGAGCACATTCCTGCACCTTTTTGGTGTGTGTGTGGGGGGAAGAATTAAAAAAAATTACTTCATTTTTGCAAGTTTTGCAGAGTTCCAGAAAACGTGTTAAATTCCCACAGAGCTTAAAGCTAAATGTACTATGCTAGCAGAAATACCTTCAGAAATATGGGTATTATCAGTTTTAGTAGTCTCAGGCAATGGCAAGAGCAGGGCTGCTCCAGGAGGAGCCTGTGGCTGAGGAAGACCATGGCACCAGGCAGGAGGTGTCCTTCCCAGCAGGGACACAATCCAGCCATGCCCAAGCTTGGGCAAGCAAGAGCCAGGTAGTGACAACAGCATGTCTCATCAACAGTCCAACAATCATCAGGGAAAGGCAAAGTAACAAGTCACGTCTGAGGACAAACAGGGAAACCCAAACAACAGTGAGGGAACAGCAAGCAAGTAGAACTGAAGGCCTGAGCTTGAATGGGGCTCCTGGAGCAATGGGCCTCTGTGGGTGGATGTCCCAGGTGATACTGCTCATGGCTGTCAATGCCTAGTGATGCACTTGGGGCCCTGATAAGTAATTTGATTTAATATTACAGAACCATGAAGGAAAATAGGAGGATGTTTCCTCTTAAAGCATATTTCTCTTTCTTGTCAAGTCTGGGTCCTCGCCACCTCTTCTCCATCTTTTTTCACACTCTAGAGATGGAAATGAGATCTACAGGTGATGACTGCCTTTCAGAGAAACTGTGAAGTTCCAGCTGAATTGTGTTCAGCTACTGCCTGCTTGACAGGGCTAGAGTACCTCAGAATAAGACAGGACATTGCCAGGAATGAACATAATTTTGGAGATTATCCAAAAATACTCCATAATCCCTCTTCCAACGTCCAGAGGGGAAAATAAGACCATGTGAATTTGCTCACATAGTCAAGACCATAGTAATGAAAGCTAATAAATCCATTATTAATTTCATATTTGCTTCCCTTGCTTTGCAATTAAACATCATTTACTAATAGTTCTATACCATACACTCTAACCCTAAATGAGGATTAAAGTACTTTTAATTGCACAGTGTCCTTGATAGTTCTTTTTACTACTATCCTAAAAGCCGACATTCAAAGAAATTGTCTCCCTGAGATAGAGTGACTCACAGCATGAGTCAGTGTTTTCTTTCATAAAAGGAGTGCATTCCACTTGTTCCTTGTTTTAAGTTTTGTAATAGAACTGTGATAGAGCTAAGATATGCACATTGTAATAGTCACCACTCTGAAAGTTGATTTACTATCACACTAACCATTTAGAGTTCTCCAAAGAAGCTTTGAAGGCTTTAATATCAGAATCTTTCTCCAAGGTCTGCTTTGGTACCAATATTTGATTAAATTAAAACCTAATTAGAGTCTAAAATGAATGATGTGCACTTTCTCTGCATTAGACAGACCTATTTGCATTCCATGAAAGACCATTGGCATGGCAGAGTGCCATTTGATTCAGTTTAAATCAAAGAGGTCCCAGTGGAATTTGTCTTTCTACCTACCAAGCTCTCTGCCCAATATTGGTTATATTTGTCTTTTCTATCAGGTGCCCAGGGCCTAAAGGTTTAGCCAGACTTCATTACCTGAGGTAGATAGTGCATAAAACCATTTAATTAGTAGTAGCCAGTCCACTGAGCCATTCCTTTTCTTTGCTTTGTCCCCACCTCCACTGATGCTGTTTACTACATATATTGCTCAGGTTTTGTTCCCAAGTGCATTCTTCAGTGCCTGAAACCCATCATTAACTATCTTCCCCTTCAGGTGTTCCCTTACTCATTCCCAGGTATTTTGTTGAGCAGAAACTCACTAAAGCATAGCAGTGTTCATAACAATTAGTGAATTTTAATTATCTTCATCCAAAGAAAGCTGTTCTTAAGTTGCAACCAGAACAATTATGGTCTTTCAGCTGTAAACAATGGGATGGTACTTTGCTTTTTATTGAAGGTACATTTCCAAGGGGTTTCTTGCTTTAAGACATGAATCCTTATTGAGTCTGTACTGATACAATGCATAAAAAGCAGCTTTGTTTTCTGCCACAAAATTTTGACAGAAATGGTTTTAATTTAGAAGAGAATGGAAGTGGCTTGGTCATTTATAATCAAGAGAAAGCAAGCAAGCAAGCAAACAAGAACAGAAAAGAATCAATCAATCTTTGAGTTTGTGAAAACAATATGAAAGCGGTAATCATAAATGAACATGAGATTTAAAAGTCCACAAAAATTGACATTTGGTTTCAGGAATTTCCTATTTCTTTCCTTGTTCCTGCAGCAGAATGTTCTCTCTCTGCTGTGCTTTAGGTTTCTGCTCACCACTGCAGGAGCTTCACCCTTCCTTCTTTTTTTTTTTTTTTCTCTTTTCCTATGAATCTTCACAAGGTGCAAATAGGGGCCTCTTCCCAGCCTCATTATAAGGGGCCATGTCAAACTGTAAATTTGGAACAAGCACCGTGCTTTCCCTATAAGTCACAAAATGAATATCTAAGAACATTTTTCCTATTCATCCCTGCAGATTAAATCTCCTACAGAGCTTAGTCAAAGAGGCCTTTGGAAAAGTTGGTGACCTACTTATTACATCACATTTAAGCATAGTGATTTGTTGATGCATTTTGGTAATAAGTATTTAGACAGGAATATTCCTCATCACCACTCTGAATCAATGTCATAAACTTTACACCAACTTATATATTTCAAAATTAATGCAATAGGGAACTATCTATTTGTCTAGTCTCCTCCATGGAGGAGCCATACATAAGTCATATAAAATCTGTACTGAAAGACCAATCAGGTTCTCTGTTAGTGATATTTTTTTCTTCATACAACTCACTGGAATTCTTCTGAATTGCACCTGCTGAGTTTGTAATGGAAAACAGTCAACTGATAGAATTAAGTGTTCTTCTATTAACCCATATCTGATAAATCTCTGCTTGTTTTGCAGCTTTTCTAAAAGGAAATCTGTTGGTAATTCATCTATGATTACTTCTTATAAGTAAATCTGCTTACTACCTGTTCCAATTCTATTTGTTGTGAAAACAGTGTGCTACAGTCTTTTCTTTCAACACTTGCCTAACGTAGGAAGGAGCTACTATCCCCAATTTAGATATGGAAAACCAAGGTACAGAAAGGCCAGATTAGATACCAGTAACATACCAAATCAAGCTCATGCATTAGCCATTGGGTATCACTTTGCTCAGTAACCAACCAGGGCATTCCTTTAAAACACTGCCCATCACTTAACAGCTGATTTTCATTAACAGCTTTATGCCCATCATCTAATCAGCCTTCAAAGTTTCCTTTGCTGTGTGATAGCTTTCTCATATTAAGGTACAATATTATTTGCAGGTTTCTGAGTTAATTTTGTTTTTTTTTCTATAGATCTAAATTACGACTGACCAGAAGTATCACAGGTCTTAGATGGGATGGGGGATGGAGGGGTCAGAAAGATATAGAAACCGAGTAAGAAGCAAGACATAGCTGGCTACTGGCAGCAGAAAGCAGGAAGAGGTGCTGCTATTTGTGGAGGGGTAAAGTTCATTTGGCAGGAGAAAAAGCTGAGAGGTTTCTGGGGGCTGAGCTGCTGAGTTGAATGGGAAGAGAGCAAGACAGACGTCAGCCCCTCACCTCGCACTGCCACTTTGTCTGCCATTGACACAGCTGATGGTTTTCTCTGGCCTTGATCCATCAGATGAGGCAGTGAGAATGTGTTTCCTGGGCACTGCTGAGACACCTAATGATGTCTGTAGCATATCCATAGCTCGGCTGAGTACGTGACACCTCAGCAGAGGCAGGGATGTGTGACTACTACGTGAGGTACATGACATCCTCTCCATACCACCCCCCTCTTTTATTTCTGCTGTAGTGCCTGACCTTTCTGAAGATAAAGAGCCCTATTTTCTCTGTTCATTTCTCCTCCTGTCCTTTTTCCAAGGTTATCCACGAAGATGATTATGTCTTCTTGCTTGCACAACCTTTGCCACAGTGTCCAGTCTTTCTTGAGTAATGCCATGGCCAGACCCAGCTTACATGGTTGAGTGGTCCTAACCACACAAAGGACACTTTAAGCCTGTTATGTCAGTCAGGCTCTTTGCCTGGCTGCTATTATGATTAATATAAGTATGCCCCTGACAAGCTAGAAAATAGCTGTGCCTGGTATGATTCAAAGAATACATAATTTTCTCTTATTCACTGGCCAGGGTTATGAACAAATGGCTATACGTAGAAAAGGAATTACATTAAGCTCGTTAAAAATAATTTCACAGGAAAGAGAGGATTCACTTCCACAAAATTGGTCTATGAGTGAAATAATAAAACATACAGGCTTTTCTTTAGCAATTCAATGTAATTTCTATTTTATTGCTGGGACATTTATGATACAGCACATGTCTCTTGATAAAAACCTCTACCTTATAAGCATGCTCAGCATTTGCTCATGACAAAGGAAGCAAAGGCAACACTTTCCTTCAGTCTATACCTGGGCATGTCCCCTACAGGACAGTTATTTTAGACTATAATTGATATAAAAAACCTGTGAACTAATATTTAATCTAATTTTGTAGATAGAGTCTATTTAAATACTATCTACCCAGAATGACCAATTAGTATTTACCCTAAAATTCTCATATTAAGGCTAAAGTATTATATATTTTAGTTATTTATCTGATCCATTAATCTCTCTTCCAGTTTAGTAGTTGGTTTGATATCCAGTATATCAGAGATAACTATCTTGTTATAGCTAAATGAAATGTGCATTTGGAAAAGTTCATTAATGCCATTACCATTAATTGGTCCTCACCTTAATCTCACTGCTGCAGGGACTCTTCAAACTAAATGACAGATTGCAGCTAGTTTTTTTAAAAAGTAGAATTTTAACAGCCTCCATGCATTGCAAATAAAGTCTAATGGGCCAAATCCTGTTCTCCTACTGATCTTAAAAAAAAGGTAAAAGTTATAGTGTTTAGTCTAAACTTACTTTACACCAAGATGTCAGAGTTCAGAATCGATCCCACTTTGCTTTTTTTTTTTTTTTGTATTAAGCATAAAATAATAATCTTCTGAGTGCAGGGAAGGATCTGATCTTGGGAATCCCCAGGCACAGCTGTGTCTGGGGTGGCTGTGCATCAGATACCGCATTTTCAATGGCCTTTACACCTTTAGTTGCACCTGCAGTGCACTGCTAAGCTGTCAGACTGTAACATAAAACAACACAGTAATTTGAATAGCAGCTGGCTTGTGACCCATTAAGAGTCTCTCTCATATGGCTCAGCCTCCCCAGATTGTTTCTGAGCATCTAAGTGAAACACTTTCTAAAAGAACAGGCAAAGGAAACCACAGGAGTCATGCTAAAACACTGAAATACTGAATTTATTCACTTCTACCAGCATTGAATGAGTCCTCAAATCACAGTGGATTTTGGACTCCCAACCTCCACACCAGAATGCAAAAAGATTAAGTAGTATTTTCTCCTACACAAAGCTATATCCCATCTGATTAAAAGCAAATTAGATTCTTGATCCAACTTGTAGGATTAAGTATCTCCTAGAGAGATGACACGAGGCCTACAACACACTTATTATTAATAATTTTCTCATAAGAGAGTCCACACTGGGATTGACTAAGAGTGCAAAGAACTATTTTGTCTTGGTCAGCATATTAATTGACTTTTTGACTTCTCTCATGCAATGTAAAACAGCTTGCCTGCTGCAGCAAAGGAAGGGCATTTAACCACCCAGCTGGTGAAGTCCTACATGGCAGACACCTGTATCTGGAACAGTCATTTCAAAGAGTGCAGCAATCATTTGCAAAATTTCAGCAAAAGAGATTTGTGAAAAATGGATAAGTGCTGGCAGAGGGAAATGTGTGTGTGTGTGTGGCCAAATTCATCAATGTAAAAAGTGGAAGGAGTATCTTATAATTTCTTTTAACTATGCAGGAATTCTCTACAGGACTTCAGCACAGATAATTTTTTTTTCTCTTAACTTGACAGCTTTTGTTTGGCCAAAATGACAACTTATGCAGCATTTGAAGGAAAAAAATAAAACCAAAACATAACAAACCAAACAAAACAAAAACCAAACAAACAAGAACCAAAACCAAATGAAACCAAAAACACCAAACCCAACCAGCAAACAAACAAACAAACAAACACCTCACACAACACTCTTCTCTCCCTTCCAAAACCCAGTACTAGATCTAGAAAAGTCAAACAATTTACTGTGTGGGTAAATGGCACAGTTTAGTCAATTTTCCCAGCTAAGAAATACTTCACTGAGATGGCAACAAAATGCAACTGAAAGCCCTAAACATGTTAGGTACTGCACAATACGCTCTTTTAGACTCTGTGAGCAAATCAAGTCCTGGGGCACAACATATAAATATGCCTCACACAGAAGCACTATTCTTTCTAATGAAAAAACAATAATAATGAAAAGCCTTTCCTCTAATAAAATTACTAGTAAAAATTATCATTAATGGCAGGCTCTATAACAAATTCTGTTGCCCTCCTGCTGTCCTCTGCACCTGCTGACTGTCTGGAATAGCCTGCCTCCTGCCTTGTCCAGCTGTTTTAAACGATACTTCATCTAACAATGCTTTTTAATGACAAGAGTTCTGGGAGGCTGATTCTCCACGATGTGTGCTCAGTGTGAAACTGCCCCTCTTTGTCCTTAGGACCCAGGCAGGAAGCCTGACTCACCTGTTCATTCCTAGTTAACTTGTAGGTCTCTGCAGCACCGTATCATCCCAAATCGGTAGTAAACACAGTGCGGTTCATCACAGAAGAATTCTGCCAAAACAACTTTGGATCAAATTATTTTAGTTGTTCCTACCTGGTCCTCACTACCACAATGAACATAATTGAAGAAAGAAAAACATAACTTGGTTTCTCAGGCTTTGCTGCTCCCCAGATACCACAAAAATTAATAGGCCAGGCAGCGTTCACAGCCCAGGTTTTACCAAGCGAGAGGAAACCCCCTCACAGTGGATTTAACACAGAGCATGTACTAATAAAGAGGGTGAAGGGAACAGTGAGATTCACCTTGTTGAACACAGAGAGTCTATTTAAAAGCAGCATAAGGGCAGGCTCAGAATTCTGCAGCTGAGTATGAAAAATGGTTTTCGGTAAATGTTGAAGTTACCCCTTGAATGCCATCCCTGGAGGTCTGTGCCATTTCCATCTGGCTGCAGACAGCAGATAGCAGGCCTTCAGTGCAACAGGGAGATGATCCGCCTTCTGTGCAGCACTGCTTTTATTTGAGCCAAAGCCAGCAAGTCACTGGGCTCCCAGCCACCTGACAATGAGAAACACAAATTACAGCAGCAAATGGCATTTTTAGCATAAACAATGTTTCCAACCTTCTCTGATTCTGCTCTTCTCTAATTCATGTTTACCGGTTTTGGGGACTAATTCCTCCCATTTTCCTGCCACTCTTTGCATAATTGCATCTGCCTTTACTGATATGCATTGAATTGAGCAAAACTAAGGAATGAGTATATGAAAAGGATATGAAAACTACAGCAGAACAAGACCCACTTTACAGGTGTCTCTTCCTCATTCCTGAGTACCAAACACAGACTGCCTTTGTTTCCCACAGTTAGCTGATATGGCACAAACCCAAACTCATTTTAGGTTACAGGAATCCTTCTGTTGGCTTCAGCACATTTCAGAGCAGAGGTAAGGCAGGAGAAGTCAGTCACAAAACAACATTTTTACTATTTAACAAGGAACCACTCAAAGTTCACTTTTAGGCAACTTTTAGCAGAACTTAAGGAACAAGCTGTACTTCACAGCCCTTTCCTCCTGAGGCCAATGCTTTATTTTCTAAACCACTAAACTTCATTATCTTTGTTGCAGACCACTAGAGATTTGATCTTAGTTGTTGTTTAGGCTAAGAAAGAGCTAGGAAATATAACAACAGTGTATTCCTGTATTCAAAGGTGAGTTTGGTCTCCTTGCTCCACTAAGTTTTAAAGCTTTCCTCCTAAAATTTCTACTAAATTTCTCTCTTCTAAACACTGCTGTTGACAATCAAGGGAAATAAGCAATTGCACACTCTTATAATACTTGAAAGATGTAAAGCTAATCAAACACCTTCATAGTATTTTCATGAAAGATTGCTGACTTAAAGTATGCATGTGCAATTTGAGTGCTCTAGGAAGTTGTACCATAGTCTTAGAGCTTCAGTAAAGACTCAGTTGCAGAACAGCCTAAATTTGTCTATGTTCCAATAGAGTTATCAGGTATTGTTTTGGAAGCTTAAAGTCCCTGTTTTTTGGTTATATGTCAGCCAATTTTATGGTGATGGTCAGCTAATACCACAGACAGCTGATTACATACCTATGGACCAGAAACCACCTGGAAGTCCATTTCCCAAGACACCCTTGGGGCATCCTTTTCCACCACATCCACATACCAACAAGGAATTTTCACACTACAGTGACAAAAGTCTCTTTCTTTTTACCTTCTTTACCAACAATCCAAACACATTTCTTCTTCATGTGACAAAGTACGCATGCACTAAGTGTCTTTGAGACAAAGATGAGAGCCCAGTCAGGTGACATCACTGCACTCACCTTAGGCCTGTGTCAGATGTACATCCATGACAGGTGAGGACATTAACATACACACATCCTATTTAGTAATATGGTGGAGAAGCATCACACTTAAACAGCTCTTGATGGCCTCTGATTTTTTTTTCATCTTCTATAATTTCAGCCTTTTTTTCCCAGTGCTTTTTGCTTTGGGGAAAGGGGTTTCTCCTTTATTTGAAACACAGAACCAAGCTGGAGATTCGTAGCCAGATTCCTATTTTAAATGTTCCAGCACTCGAGAATGTCTAGATTTGGAGTTTTGGTTTGACTCACCACAAAGTCAGAGTTACTTGAACATGGCTTATTGAAGCTCATGTTTTTTACAGTTTCCCAGTTTTGTGAACTTCAGGATATGGGAGTTTAATTTGTCTCTGGTTTTGAAGAGATATCATCTGTGTGATAGTATATAATCCTGTTCAGTATAATTTCCTTTAAAATCTGGGAACTTCCCTAATCACAAATAATCACAAAGAAGAAAACCCAACATGACAATTCATACATTGAAAATGTTAAATTTCCCAGTTCAGTTCGTAACTGTTGTAGTATTTTCTTTTTGTGAAACTAATCTGTATCTGTTACTCTTAGCAGTTAATAGTTTAATTTCAACATAATTTAAACATGCATATCAAAATATTACTAGTGGGAAGAATGATACAGCTTTTTATAGCGTTTTATTCCTCCCAGAAACATGGCTATAAAAAAATTAACATTGTCTTGATTATATCCCTTTTATAAACACAGCAGGATTGGGAAAGCATTCCAGGATATATATCTGTCACTGTAGCTGTATCACCCTATAACTGCTTAGCTGAAATCACTCTCTAATCAGAAAGGGTAATGGATTTCTTCTGCTGTCACTGAAAGGTGATCGTGCAAGTGACAGATGTCAAAAGCATCATTCTTTCTGAACTCTCTCCTCACAGCTGAGATTAAATAGAATAGCTTAATTGCACCTTGGGCTCATTTAGACTGTTTGGAAGAAGGTAAGATTTTAGCATCTGTTCTACATTCTTGTAGTCCTGAGCTTGATATTTGGTACCTAGAGAGAGACAAAATGCGGCTTTATTTTCTATCTTCTGGGGAGATTTGAAAAACCCAATAAGATAACCAGGAGAATCTACACATGGGGTTAAAAAGAGATAATCTGAATAAAGACCAGGGAAAAACACAACCTAAGCTTTGAAGCTGCCTGAAGTACAACATTCTAAGCTGTCTGTGAGGGTTTACAATGAGTGGGGGCAAGAACAGTGGTTTGGCTCTGCCCATCACCCTGCATCGTGGAGAGGAGCCCAGGTACCTGCCTTCCTCCTGCTTGTGCACAGCAGGCTAAGGGCTGTAAGGGAAAGAAAATTAAGGTCTATAAAGTTACTTCCAAGGCAGTCACAGCAGACATAAGATCAGTTTAGTGCCTTTGTTCTCAGCTGCAGTTCTGCGTGGTGTCTGGGAAATTCCTATTGAAATCCCAGTCACACAGAAAGACACTTTGGGTACATATGGCATAAGTGCACTGTTCCTTTTTTATGGGTAACATTTACCTGTAGGGTTTGGTTATCCTATAAACTAGCATATAAGACTATCCTCAAGGGCTCTCTCATCAGCAAAGAAAAAAAACACTTGTAGCTCGCTTGGCTTCTGCATTTCCTATTAGAGAAAATAACTTGCTGCAGTCACACAAAAGGTAAATAGATATTTCACCATCATATCACTGTTAGCTAGCACTGAGCTTTAAAATTCAACAGCATGGCCATACTGAAAGGAAAAGACAAGACAAGAAGAACCCACGTTCTCTGAATCAACAAGTCTTGAATTGCTACAGAAGGATGGGAGAAAAGGATTTGAATTAAGTCTTTCACCCAGAATCTACAACATTCAGGTTTTGAGGTAATAAGAAAAAATATTTCTACAGATGGGTTGGAGTAACAGGAGGAGAAAATGTGAGAAGTCTGCACAAGAAAAAAAAATACTTTGTACTCAGTCATCAAGCTTATATTAGGTTTGTAGCCAAATAGCTTTATTTTATTTTTCAATTACCAGACAAGCTCATTTATGGAATAGCATGGGCTTTGCTTTCCTACAGTTTTTCACATAATAGATAGTTGAAAACCTTTTCCTTTCATGCTTTCAAGTTCTTATTGTATACAATTGTTTTCCTTGGGGGATTATACCTGATCCCATGAAGCTTTCCCTGCCAAGACAGTCCAGCCTCATTGTGGAATAAGAGCAGACATTGATAGGCAGGGACCACAAGGGAGGCTGCAGCAGCTCTGGGCCCCTCTCTCCCAGCAGGGTTTTGCTGCTCAGCCTGTAAGGGTCACCTGAGCATGGCTTAAAGGATCTGGAAAGGAGAGGATATCTGAAGGCCAAATATTTAAAAAATGCAAGCCCTTTGCCATTTCTTCATGAACCTCTCCCATCAAATAAAGTAGATTCAACATCGTTTGTTTCTAAATGTGCTGGAAATGAAAATAACTGCAGTTATTGAAGCTGTGGGAGGTACAATGGATATTTCAGCTGTAACAGGATGAGAATGCCTGTTCAAAAGTTCCCTTCAAGCTCTTTATAGCAGACAAATCCTCAAAAGAAAACATACTTTGTTAACTTTCATTTGAATACATCCTGCTCCAGCCAGACAGCCCACTTAAAATGACACAGAGGTAGTAAATTGTTCTACTGATTGGTTAGCTGGAGTTTAACAGCTTGAGCTTATCAGGGAAGTGATAGGAACAAAAGTGTCGGACATGTCATCATTCAGACAAGATCTCCTTCTACTCTTCCTGAACCTCTGAGGTGAAGGCCTTTAATTCCTCTTTGCAGTAAAAGATGTGTCATGGAAACAGCGGGAGATGGACAAAAGCCACCCAGAAGGGATCTTACTCAACAAACTTTGCATATAGCATCCCACAAGAAACCCTATTAATGTGAATTATTTCAATAGCTGCGGTGCTGTATGGGTCCATGTTTTTCCAAGAGAGTGTTTTCCTCAAAAAGTCCCTGATGAGGAAGAAACAACAGGAGATCTCGTCCTCAAGACACTTCCAATATCTAGCAACTGAAAGATGATGAGAAGTACAGATTTCCTGTTATTTTGTTCTGAGAAATGGCACCCCAAGGCATTAAAATGCCCATGGAAATATGGAGGGCCAGATTTTCACAGGCACTCACAGCACGCACTGTTGAATGGAGAAATGCTCAATTCCTGTTTTCTGGCCAATCCACTTAGGCTGCCGACTTCTGGCTCTTAATCCCCTCCAGAGCTCAATGGCTTGTGCCCAATAACACACACGTCACTAAACCCAGCATTGTAAGACAGCTACAAGCTGATCAGAAGCACTTGTAGGTTTGGTTATTTGTTTGATGTTGCAGTCAACCTTTGAATTGCCTCTGAAGAAACAGGAGTAAATAACACACATCCGGTCTGGCCAAAAGCATTTTATCAATGCCAAAATCTCCACAATGTACAAGACTGTACAACAGGCAAGGACAATCCCTCAAAGGCAACTGTGATTGTTGCATGAAAGAGTAACAGAGCTCAATTAACCAATTAAATGGTCTGCCAAGAGACCAAGGAATTCACTGTTCAAACATATCCAAAGTTAGCCTAAACGGAAAGCGTAGAGGTATGGAATATAAGATGGTCTCACAAGAAAATCAATACTACAGGTATCCATTGGTAAGGTATCCCAAAACTGAAGGGTCAAAAGAGACCATAGGTCATGAGAAGGATGGGGAAACAGACATTTAGTACAGTGATGGTGTTCATTTAACACTCTGAAATAAAACACAATGTGGAAATCCATCAGTCAGGTGTGGCTCTCAGTTGTGGTGGGTACGAAAACAGAGATAACATGTCATATCCTCCCTCCTAGGATGTTATTGCAGGAGATTCTATGTATGACATACTAATTTGAGCTTCAGAGAAGATAATCCAACATATCACAATTTAACATTAGATGTAAAGCTTCCTCATTCAACCTCACCTCCTGTGTTTCTCTGGTTTGTTTTCCAAAACATAGCTACAGCTCCTAGTGAAATCAGATGGATTTATGAAAGGGAAATCATTCCAGACCAACCTGACAGCATTCTATTATCACATGGCTAGAGCAGAAGATGAAGGGAGAAAACTGTGGATATTGTTTACCTTGACTCATGCAAAGCTTTTGACGTAGTCTGCCATAATATCCTCACAAACAACAGTAGGACCCACACTGTTTAACATCTTCACGGTGGGACAGAGTGCATCTTCTCAAATTTGCAGATGACACACAGCTAGAAGGGCTGATGCACCAGCTGGCTGTGCTGCCACAGAGAGGCACAAGGACAGGCTGGAGAAATGGGAGCAATGGAGAAACTTTCCCTTCAACAGAGGGAAGTGCCTCTGGGGAGCAATAATCTCCTGCACCAGAATAAGGTGGGGACTGACAGGCTGAAAAGCAGGTTTTTGGAGAAAGTTCTGGGGCTCCTGGTGGACACCACAGTGACCACAAACCAGTAGTGCATCTTTACAGCAGAGATAAGCAGGTATCAGCACATATCTGGAAATCTGTGCCCAGTGCTGAGCTCCCCAGGACAGGAGAAACGCAGAGACACAAGAACAGGTCCAGCAAAAGGCTACAAAGATGATCATAAGAGCTTGCAGCATCTGACAGATAAGGAGAGGCTGAGAAGATTGGGGCTATTCAATCTGGAGAAGATAACTCTGGGTGGGGGGGAAGGGCAAATAAAAATAAATGCCTGATGGGAGGGATTAAGGAGATGAAGCCAGGTTCTTCTTAGTAGTATCCAATAACAAGTGACAGGACAGGAGTCAACAGGCACAAATCGACTAAAAGGAAATTCCATTCAAACATATGAGAACACTTTTTCTGTGAGGGGGCCCAAAGAGTAGAACAGGCTGCCCAGAGAGGTTGTGGAGCCTCCATTCTTGGAGGTAACACAAATCCTGGTTATATATAGGCAACCTTGTAGCTGATCCTATTCTGAGGAGCTGGAGTAGACAGTCTCTGGACATCCCTTCCAACCTCAACTGTTCTGTGAAAACATGCCAATCACAGTTAGAATCTATGAAAAGTAAAGGCATCCATAAAGTGTTGAGTTTCTGTCTACATTTACTAAGAATGTATTTACTGCAGGTTTCACGTTTACCTTGAGGCTCTCTGCAACTTTTCAGCAAAGTAACTGGAACTTATGTACACTACCAAAAGAAAAGCAAACCTCGTGGCTGCTAAGTGTAACATTAAACTGATTTTAATGTCCATGATGCAGTAGGTGGTGGTGTTAAACAGAAAAGTTTTCAATAAAGCTTTTCACTCCAATGCATTTGGAGTGTCTCAAGCCTCACCATACATACGTAATATGTATGCATTCACTTACAGATCTCTGTATCTTAAGGAACTGTCCTCTGTGGTTTACACAATTTGCTTGTTCTTTTTGGCAAAATCTAGGAGCTGTTTGATTCTTCTCTTTATTTCTACCAGTATTCTCACAACTCACCCCTCCTTGTACAATACCACTTCTTTGTTTCTGATTTTTCTCTTTCACCTTTTGCTCTTCCCAGTGTGTGATTCCCAGTCAGTTGACATCTCATGATAGCCATAACACATCTGAAAACAATCTGAAAGTCCTAGTCCTATCAGTTCAGTGCCAAAGACAGCCATTTTGTATACAATTTGGCAGAGGCTAATCTAACTCTTTACATCTGTTTTCCCTTTATTTTTTTTCCTTTTTTTTTAATTTCCCTTTTCTTTTTTAGGGAGGGATAGAGGTAACTGAATCAAAACTTCAGGCAAAAAAAGAAGCCAGAGCCTCTTATAGTAATTTACTGAGGTCCAGAAATGCATAATTGCCTGTTGCTGCTGTTCTAATTCCAGACTTAGTCAGCAGTATGGTAAACGAAACCATAGTAGCTCAAGAACACAAAGAGATACAGATAGACTCCAAAGAGTCATTAAGCCCCCCAAACCAGCTGCAGGTCTGTAGGCCTGTCTGTCTGTAGGTCTGTAAACTCTGCTTCTCTGAGAGGAAAACTCATCCCTAAACTCCAAAGTAACATTTAGAAATAAATTGATAGAAAGAATACAAGTTTAAAGGAAAATCTGCTGGAATCAGACCATTCCAGCACATGCAATGTTTGTAATAAATCCTCCAGTAGTTTGTGCTCTTCGTTGCAGATGTCCATAAGCTATTTGCTTATTTTCCCAAGGTATTTAAGATATTCAAACATTTTTTTTTCCCCGAAATGCTGATATGAATTGTATGGACAAAGTAAACAGAGTACTCTGTTAGAGTTTCCCTTTTTACAAATGAGCCATAAAATTGTCCATTAATCAGCATTGCTTCCCCAGGGGTTGAACTGCATTGTTGAGGTTTCCTTTTCCATTTTTGATCCCTGTTGAGGAGATTAAAAAAAAAAAAATCACAATGCAGTAAACCAAAAAGAATAGGCCTTTGAAAACTGCCCTACTCTCCACAGCCCTTGGGCAGAGCTGGAGTTTCATCAGTGGTGGAGAATTCTAAATTTAAGCACTGCCTATTTTCATCCCTTACCTTCTAGTAAAATAATAGCCCTATCATGGCTCCTTCACTTCCCATCCAGAGAACACGGTGTTCCTACCTATTTAAATTACTCCAACAAGTTCCTTAGAACAATAAAAAGGCCGTTTAAGGTCTCCTGGGGTAAGTATCTACAACCGGGGAAATAATGAAAAGCTGAGAGAATTTACTGGGAATCTGGCATTTCAGAGCTTTGCCTCCTGTTAATTCCTGAGAAAGGTGTCAGTTCTGACAGTGCTTGAATTTATCTGGAGGGCATATCCTTTTAAAACAGGGCAGAAAGAAATATCCATCTATTGTACCTGTCACTCCTCAACGTGTGCTGTCTGCAGGCACAGGGTCAGCCGGCAACTCCACTGCACGTCGGGTCTTTGAAGATCCAACTCATTGCCCAGGACGGCCAAGCCTGCACCTGGTTTTGAAGGTGCACAACGGGAGCGGGGTTGAGGAGTCAATCTCAGTTGCCACAGGTTTTATACCTCACTTTGCTGTGTTTTTTTTAAATAGGTAGAAAGGTCACAAGGCTTACGGGGAGCACTGGAGGCTGCTGTAAAATAGCACAAAATGAACAAAGTCCAGCAAAGTGTGCATGTTCATGCCACCTGTAGAGCTGGCCTCTAGCTGTCATAGATTTGCTAACTGCCATCTAAAAGCTAATGCCTTTGTCCTCTAAGTGTTAGATAATTTAATATGAACTTTTCAATTCGCCCTGACGAAAATTAAAACTTGGGGTTTTATATTGCCTCTTCTGCCTTCCCTGTCTTTCACTATCTGTCACACATTTGGGGGGAGATGACATAAGCTCCTTGCAGGGGTATATTTTTAGCAGAGCAGCTTATTTAGCATGCAAACCAAATACATAATCAAAGTGCTTTTTTTTTTTTTTTTAAAAGGGAAAGTCATCTCAAGGTTGACTTAAAAGCCAAACAGCTTTATCTCACCAAAGTCTTGGTTAAGTGCTGCAGTGTGTAGCCCTATGTGTAAGATGAGTGCTCTTTCCAGCGAGGCTGTGTTGATCTATGATCTAATCTAGGCTCTTTAAATAAGCTTTTAAGTGTGTAACTAAGAACCCCTTTATCTGTTATTAATGTCTCGTTCTGTTATCACTGCAAGCAATTTAAATATACTGGTCATATTTGATGAATTCCTCTACAGATTTCCTTTCCTCCCAAAAATATACGAAGCTTGGTAAGGAACTTTTTTTTCCTTCTGCATTCCTTATGAGCTCAGTAGCATTCTAACAACATTAGCCTCATGAACATAAAACCCTGAAATGTCTGGACATGCATGCAATGTGACTCACTCACACCTAGTGAACAAGTTCTCTCATTCAAAGACTACAGAAGTGTGAGTTTCTTGAATCACTGATTTTATTAGTACAAACATGCTGAACTTTACTGACATACCTTTTACTTTATTGGCGTACCTTATTTTATAAGTCTTAAAGACCTTGGCAGGTTTTCCACAGTTAATTTAATCGAGATAACATTCAGGGGAGAAAATAGAATACCATACTAAATCATAAAAGGAATTTCTCCTAATCTCTCTCATGTTAGCAGTGGCTGACCTAAGAAGGTACCTGTCACATAACCTGGCTTTTTCTCATAGGGGTTTATTTATTCTTGTCTAAAGCCAGATCTTACCACAGCTGTGACTCCAGTTCAGTCTGAGCTGTGGGAAATGTCTTTAGTTTTCACATACTGTTAGGGAAGCCCTGTGTCCTGCATGAAACCTAAAGCAATACTCATTATGCATATTTGCATTGGCTTCTCTGTCATCCAGGAAAAATGTTCTTTAAAAAGAGCAAATAAAGGAAAAGCTGCTAGAAACAATTAACTGGTTTGGGAACAGTACCTGCCAAGTCAGCTTTTAACTTGTACATCCAGTTGCCACAGAATTTGATCCTCTCCATAGCACATTGTGTCTGACTTATCCTGTTGCATCTCAGAACTGCTAAGCCTTCTTCTGTGGACAAAAAGAAAGATATCACAAAGGTCACATCTACCTTTCTACCCTTTCTAAATCTTCCAGCCCCAGAAAAGAAAGGTGTTTCTTTTCTTAAACACATAGTCTGCTGCAATGACAGATATTTAGCTAAGTGGTGAGATAAATGAATATGCAAAAGTTAAAATCAGGATTACAGTTCTGCTCTTGCTTAAATAAAAACACCTGATGAAGTATTTTATTCTGACCTTCAACTGCCTTATCCATAATCAACTGAGACTTACAATCCTTCAGCAGGTATTATACTGATGAGAATTTTCTGTGCTAGCTAAGAAGGCTGAAGCAAGTTTTGACTTCTTTGTTAACAAGGAAGTGCCTCTAGACAATTTCAGTCACAGCCCCTGTACCTCCCTCCAGCAAACTATTGCAAAACTGGTTCAGTAGTGTGATCCTGATGCCTTATTTATGCCAAGTCAGTGACCAAAAGCAGCTCTAAAGGCAGTTGAACAAAAAGAATAAGTGTAGAGCATTCAGAATGAGCCTGAAAGTCTCATCCTACTATGTGTTTATATGGAGATACAAATCCAGTAAGGAGTGGATAAAGATGTAATTCAGCAATATCTGATTTTTCCATTGCTTAGAGATTCAAGAGTAGTCATTTCATCTTGTTCACACTGACACACACAGGCATACCCACATCCTTATATGTGCATGCACACACACAGAACAGAGAAAACAAGAAATCACGGTTTCAAAAAACACCTCAATAAAACATCATTAAAGCAGAAGGTGCAGAGCTTGGAAATGTTAAACTCCTTGCTAACAGCGAGTTTGTACCCAGCCCTTTGTGAGAACTGGTCTGTGAATAGTGTACTACATTTTTAATGGACGTTCTTGTCTCTTAATTCATAACCCTGAGTCTTAAAACTGCATCATAAAGGCTCCTATCACAACTTAATATACTACCAGATTGTGATATACCAAATTCCAGGCAAGAAAGCAATGAAACCATAAATTCCTTCAATGAATGTTACTAAGCCTGATGTTTCAGAAACACAGCTCAGCTAATTGCATCCTAATACATAAATTCAAGCCAGTACAAAACGTAACGTGCATTACACTTAGGAAGCCTGAGTAAAAGACCCAAGGATGTAGGTAATTCCTTATAATAGTTACTAGGAAAGAGTGAATTCTGTACTAACATGTCTTGCCTCATCTTTCAAAATCCATTTTATAACTGTAAAATGCCTCCTTCATTGCCCTCTTGCTTCTAGTACTGACTTGATTTTTTTTTTCTCTCCTTTTTTTTTTTTTTTTAATTCCTTGCTCTGTTAACAACCTTTGCAATGCAGAGGGTCTTGCTGGAAAAAAAAAAAAACGCCTGGAGCCTTCATATCATTTGCATATCATTTTAAATACATTTACATCACATTTTAATCAAGGAAAATGCAAACGCACGGTTATAACTTTTTATTTATAGAGTTCTTATAAGGCACTCAGCAAAACATACAGACAAAATATGACCTCAAGGCTGAAAAGGAAAAAGTAGCAGTGAGAAGACTGTTAGCATGTCTTGAAAATCCATCTGATAATTGTCCTGCTTTACATTTAGCTATTATTGTTTGAGGCTATTTAGGAACTTGTAATGTTTTGATTTAATCAGTTTTATGATAGAAAAAGTCTGTCTACAAGTACCCACAAAGCAGCTCATGCATAGAGCACACATGACTCTCTTAGTTCTGGTTGTCATCTGGCAGAAACCTGCTGGGACAGAGATGCTCAAACTCAAGGGTGCTTGCAATGGGCAGATTCCTGACAGATCTCGCATGATCCTCACCCTCAGATTTCAAAGTTCTGCTGCAAATAACACCCCAGATAACCTGACATCTATTGCATCTCCTCAAATTGCCATGATATGATCAGCCAACCTCCATCTCACATTTCCTGGAAATATGCAGCTGGTAAGGGGGAAGGGTCACGATAGCAAAGCTGGACAGGAAAAAGGTGTTGTGCTCTTCCTCACACCCCCTTGTCACCCACTCACAAGTCTTCCCACCCAAGCCTCCTCAACAGCTGCCAGAAGATCCAGGACTTCCCCTCCCTACCTCCCCCTCCAAAAATACAAGTATTCCAGTGGCTGACTGCCCTCTGCCTCCCAGTTTAGAGGCTGCTGTGATCTGCTGAGGGGGAACTTTCAAGGGAGCTCTACAATTACAGACAGAGCCTCAATACTGGAGAAATTTTGTAAGGTCGTGCTTTAAAAAGTCAAGCGATGCCAAAATTAAAGCCATCTGAAGAATTCTGATTCTCAGAACTACACTGAAAGTCTCCATGAGAACCTGTGACAGAAACAAGACATGATTAATGCTAGATTTTAACTACATTAAAGATGTTCATTTGCCTCACCCAAAAAGTTAAAGCTGGAAAATTTTGGCAGAATTAAAATCCTGAGACAACTTTATCCAAAATATTTTCCAAAATGTGACATTTCCTAGAGGAAATACCTTTAATCAGATTTCCTCCTGGGCCTCTGGAAACCGGAGAAGCAGCTGATTGAGATCGAGAAGATTCTTCTCAGCCTAAAAACTACTCACAAATAAAACAAATAAGAAAGTCACATCTTCAGTAGGTTTGTCCATCTTGAACACTGAATGAGCTGACTCTCCTGCTTGAAAGGAAAGAAGTTATTGTACAAAGATATTGTACTGATGATATTGTACAAAAGTGATGCTTCTGATATGGGAGCTCCATAAATATCTGCCTCAATCTGACAAACAAAGTTATGAGATTTAGTGGGTATTTGTAAAATGTTTAGTGATTCCTGGCTGAAATGCCCTTTTAAAGTATTATCACTATTCTTGTTGTAGAAAATAGGAAAGGCCAGGGTCTTACTAAAGTAAAGGCACAGAAAACACAGGAAATATGTAAGAAAAAGAACAAAAACACTGTGATACTTTAAAAAACACTGCTTCTAAAGGCATCACTTCCTGCTCCATGGTTGGTCTACCTTTTTTATTTTTCCAATCTTCACAAAACATCAGTGTTTCTGTCTTATGTCTTATTCACATGACAGAGATATTGTCTAAACTAATTCTCTTTCAGGGCAGCAAAATAAATGAAACTGCTGCTGCACTATATAAATTTTGCTTTGGGGCTTTAAGGACAGCAATGATACAGGGGAAAACCTGTTCCAGCATACACTGGTCTTCCAAGAAGGGACTCAAGACCTTCCTTCTTTCTTCTGGAAAACATAGGGTTTCTCAGGTAGTAAGGCAGCACTGGTGTGACTGAGGCACAAGATCTCAACCAAGTGACTCTGGACTGTGTTTTGTGCCTGCCCATCCCCAAAGCCCATAAAGAGGGAGGACAGAGGACTTGAGAGGGAAGGAGGTCTCTAAAAGCCAGAGCAGAGCTTTTAGCTAATAGTGAAAGTTAAAAACTAAACCCTGTGGGTTTGGGATTTATTTTGTTTTGTTGGTGTTTTGGCTTATGGTTAGGGATTTTGGTCTGTTGGGGTTTTTAAGCATTAAAATAAAAAACAGAAACAAAAAAACACAACTGTTTGCTACAACAGGAAAAGGAGAGGTCTTGGGAATGAAATTCAACGAATGATAGGTCATAATTCATCCCCATGTCATTACCACATTATCCACCTTTTCTGACATTTTTGTCCTATCAAGGACCAATTCAGCAATAAATATGTTCAGAGTTGAGCTATCCTTGATGATCCCTGGAATGTCACTCTGCTCACACACCTATTAGGATGTTATTCTTTTCATAGCTGCAGTATTCATTCCCAGGTAAGCTATGAAAGTGACCTTTGTCAAAAAAAAAGTTCTTTTGACTGCTGAGGGGAAGCCTTCATCGAGGCACCATGGGACAGCAACTGACGGTAGGGAGGAGGAAAAAAGCCATGAAAAAGAAAATATAGCAATATTTTCTTGGATTATCCCCTACTTTCTACAAGTTACAAATAACTCTTAGGGTATAAAAACTTGAGAGACGCCAAGTACTTCATTTTATAAAAAAAGTCACACTGTTATCTGCGAGTTTTTGAAGAAAATTGTACCTCTGACTCAGTGAACAAGTTTGAAAAAAAGGACATATCTGGCATTCCATGCTTTTTGAGTGGAATAAAAATTCATAAGAGGTATGACATAATGCATCTACAATTCAGTGTTTTAAACCCAGTTGAGGCTCATAATTATGACTGAGCTTTGAAAACTCAGAGGAAACAACGAGATAGGCCCCATCCTGTTCAAAGTGGTTGTTTATATCAAGCATCTAAACACTACTGCCATATAATCCTTCCACATCATTATCTGCTAGCATATTAAAAAATGTATTAACTGATCAGACAGTACAACATTGTCAGCACACACAAGTTTATCAAAATATTCACTGTTTTGAGTAGTTTCCTTCAAAATCTCAGTGGTGGCTGTATTTGAAGGTCAGATTTCAAAACAATTTCTTACCTCTGCTTTCAAGTGAAGTTTCACAGCTGAACCCTATCAAAAGCACAGAAACCACCAAATGAGATGCTGTAAAAACATTGTTTTTTAAAACCTCTCTTGAAGGCAAAGACAATCTCACGACTATTATTAATAACACTACATGAGTGTAGATCAAACTTAAGGACAAAACTGCATTTTAAGTTGTGAAAGGTCACACTGATCTTGGTACCTGTACCTGCCAGGTTTATTTGTACTTAATGCCACCCTGACCGTAACTTATAAAGAGCATCTATATTTCTCCCAAATAAAAATGTGAAAGCAATTTCAAGATTTATATAGAACAGAAAGAAAATAGAAACAATGCATAAAACTTCGTGACATCAATAGGTATATATTTAAAAATTAATTCTATAAAATGTAATTTTAAAAAAGTTGCATTTTATTCTGCATTTTACTGAACTTTATATCAAATTTTCTTTTTGTGACTAATCCAAAAATGAGAAATAACAGAGCTTGCTATATTATTACTGTTCAAAAAATGAAGTGTGGTCTGGTGATATTT